TTAAAAAGCAAATCATCATGTATTAACATAGCACATTTGTTACCATAGTTTTTCTCTAAAGTCCAGACTATGGGTTTAGTCATCATTTATGTTACTTTTACATTACTGTCTATATTTTGTGTCCTTAGATAACCATGTTTGTCTTTATAATCAAAAGCAATAATGTAATTATCTCTTTAAAAATGACCGATAAATCTGTGTGCGCCTGATTTCCAATGATGAATACATCTGTGAATCCGGAATACAAAGTACAGTTCAGGGACTATACTCAGCATATCAGGTCACTCTTGATCCCACTTCCAAAGAAAAATATGAAGAAGAAAAAAGAGGAAGAGTAAGGGAAGGAGAAGAAATAAAGAAACTAACAAATAAAATAACTCATATCTGAATTGTCAATACACTTAGTCAATGACTAGCAATTTAAAAAGTAGTTGCATTGTTTCATTAATGTACAGGAAAATTTACTTATATAGACACATCTGTGTTAATGTCTGTTCTATCCTGAAGCCCCAAACACCCGGATTTACTCGAGCAGCAGCCAGTAAGAGATTATTTACTGAACACTTACTATGTTCCAGACACCCTTCTAGACAAACATAGAGCAGTGATCAAGGCTGACAAAAGTTCCCACCCTCAGTCTTGTTTTGTTGTAATGGGCCAAGACAGACAACAAACAAGAGAAGTATTTTTTTGTATTGTTAAGGGTAATGTGTACGCTTCCTAGAATTGGCGAAGCATTTGAGGACTATGTTAAGCAGTTAAAGAAAAAAAAAGATGGGTATTTATTTGTTGAATAGATTTGTCATTATCATAGAGAATAACAATGACCTAATATTTTGACAAAGGCAATAGATCACAGAGCATTAAGCAATATTAACTCCAAAAGTTAAGTAAGTGTGAACAACTAAAGATTTTATTTAAAATTTCAACACTAAGTTATTGGCTATTTCAACTGTTCTGGATTACAGCAATCAGCTATAACTTTTTCTACAATAAACATACTTTGTTAAAAAAATAATGAATGAGATTTGGCTTTGTGTATACAGGTGATTCATTTATATTATGCTGTGCTTCTTAAGTTGGCCACTTAAATTTTTTTTCAGGTTATTACAGAAACACTTTCTATGCTTATACACTAAAACAGAGTTTTTAACGGCTCTAAAAAACTTTGCCCTGAAACAGATTAAAATTGCAAACCCGAAACTTCCTAGAGAACAGCTATCATATATAACACTAAGCTACTATTAATGACAAATATCTTTAAAGCCAAGTTAATTATGCTTTATAAAATAAGACAGAGTACTCTAATAAGAGGTAAATTCGAGAGCAGATGATTAGAGAATTTTTAGAAAGACTTCATTGTAAAATTCTAAGTACTAATGAATATAAATAAATAACAGATTGAAGTAGAATTGCCATTTATAAATATTTTGCAACACCAAATTACTAGTCAGCACTGGGTGTGGGGAAATGTTTCTTAATGAAAATTAGGGAACTCCACCTTGACAAACTTCCTCATCACCCCATTAAAGCTGCCTGTGGCTGCAGACCCAGAGTGACATCATCTCTGTGATTATGAACAATTTTCCTTAGTTTCTAACCGATTTACTGGGCATTTGTGTAAACACTTTTGAAATATAGTGCTTCAAAATGCACAGCCAATCTCCAATCCCTGCTTCACACTGTCATTCATGGTAACTGTCTGGAACTGAAGACATTCCTCAGGGTTCCGAATAGATCTTACAAAATCAGCAGAGAAATATAAGTGTGTTTAAAGTGAATATGTTTTTTTTTTAAAAAAACAGCCTTGACTAACTTGAAAGCTCCCCCTAAAAACAAAATGAAGGAAACATTGGCAATTCAGCTGAAACAGGCCCCAAATTAACAAGGCGTCTCCTGCTCTTTCAAAGGTAGGGTTATCCCGACATTTTCACCTCTCAAAGTCACCTGTGTCCCTTTAAACCAGATGTCACCTGTACTAAAGTGAGAGAGAAACCATTATGCAACTCACCCTTGCCTTCAAACCTGGCCCAGGGCCTTTCTTCCACAGTGTGTAAAGAAGTGTTTTGGTGGCTCACACGGTGGAACAAAACAGGCTGGTGTAAACCAAGTTCTGAAACTTAGTAGCTGTGCAACCTGAAACTGGTTACATTACCTCTCTGTGTTTCAGATTCCAACTCTCTTAAAAGGAAAGAGTAAATGAGCAAATGTATATAAAATGCAGAAAAGAGTACCTGGCAAGTGGTATTCACTCTGTGGTTGTTAGATGTGGTTATTAAAAGTCGAAGAAAATACATCAGAATTGTTCTTAATGTAGAAAGCTATGAAGTTACTGCCCTTTCTAAATCTATCTAAAAATGGTAACACTATTAGTATTGATTCCTTCTGCCTCAATTAAAACAGACTGACTTATCATTCAAGACAAAAACACACAATGTATTGAGGAATCTTTCTGTGTATTTATACTTTAGGGCACCGTCCTTTCTTTTTTGCATTGTGCTGTTCAGATTTTTTATCAAACTGTCTTCATTCCACAATAAGCAGGTCTGAGAACTATTATTTACCAGCTGAGTAACAGGAATTATTGGGTAGTGTTTCAGGCATGTTTTGAATACATCGGAATAAAGTCACCAGACTCAATTCGTCCCCGAAGACATGAACTTTTTTCCTCTGTATGAGGTGTCCCATGGCAAAGGTGCTATCGGTGTATAAAACCTGAGAAACAAACCAAAAAACTTCATCAGATATGAACACGAAATGGGAGGCTTTGCACAGGGAAAGCAGAATTGGGGTTTGAACCTACCTGACCATATATAAAAAAGTAACCAGTTTCTTTGACCAATATTTTATTCTCTTTCTCTTCTAGGGCTCTTCCCCTTTTAAAGCTGAGAAGCCATGGAACAAATGTGTAAGCTCCTGCAATGAAGAGAATTATTTATAAGAAAAGAAACTGAGAAAAGCAGTTTTCACATCCACTTAGCTGCTAAAATATATCTGAAACCTAGAAGAGAATTCCATCTTTTTTAAAAAAGAAAAAAATAAGACAAATCACAATGCTAACATTGGGTTCTTTGCCACCACTCACGTATTCACCTGGGCAACTATCTGATACCGGGACTTGAGAGCAACAACTTTGTATGAACGTCTGGGTTTTCTTTTACAGTTCTGTATTTCGGCTATTTCATAAAAAAAAAAAGGCTGGTCTGGGTGGGAGAATATGAAGTAAAGAATGGACAAAATTTCTCTGAATGGTACACTAGTAGAGATTCTCCTTTGGTTCCCGGAGAGGAGGGAGTAAGTATGCAGAGAGTTTAGCAAAAGGTTCGGGAGGTAGCAAGTGCCCCACCCCCCAACAAACCAGTTGGCAGGAACAGAGCCCCAGGAAGAGTGACGAAGGCGACTAAGACACACCTTTGTTAGGATATGGGCCGGGAACTCTGTAACAGCAGTCTGTGTTAGTGAGGCTTAAAGGATTTCTGTTCAGTTCACTGATGATTCTCCTCCCTTATTGCTGGACCTTCCCTTGGGGAGTAACCGGGAAGTTACTGTGCCTAACGGTGGGATGAAAAGGGGGGAGAGAAAACAGCACCACAGAGTGAGTAGGCAAGAGGGGACCCAGTCATTGAGCCATGATCACGTCTTGGTGCTTTGGGACATCAACACCCATTAAGAGAGTGTCAACACTCCTTTCCTGTGAATTCATATTTAAGTCCCCTGCATGTCTCACAGGTATGCTATGTAAATACCGGAGTAAAGGGTGAGCCCTAAGGCTAGAGACTGGGAAATTGGGGGAGTATAAATAAAATGATGTAAAATAAGTGACTAGAAGATTAGGAAAATGGTAATATAAGGATAGAATAATAAAACAAAGCTGTGATAGTTAGTCTAAAATCGTATTAAAAAATCCCTGTATAATTGGTAATGGTGGGTTACACATGTCTCCAAATTTCACCCTCATCATAACAAAAAGGAAAACAAAATCAGTAACAAAATTCAGCATCCAAAAGGGACAACATGCCAGAAGCTCAAGAAGAGAACAACTTTTCCTATAACTGAGATTAAATAAAATTTTCTCCTGTGGATTTTCACAATGGAGCACAATAAGATGTGGTAGCTGACAGTGTTTCCACAC